ACACCTGATAGAACAGCTTTCCCGACAGTGAGTAAGAGCATATACAAATAGACAAATTCTAGAATGTGAGAGAAATATGGTTAAAAAAAAAAAAGGAGGAGGTGGTAAAAGATGTGAAGGAGGCAGACAGAAGCAGGGTCATTAAAGGTCCACGAACAAACTTCAAAATACTAGAAAATTAAGCTCAAAATAGCAGTTGTTCTACTATTGGATTAGCAAAGATCCAAAAGTTTGGAAAGATTCTGCTAATTAAGCTGTGGGGAACCCATGCTTTATACATTTGAAGAGTGTAAATTAGTACAATGACTGAAGAGAAAATTCAGCCATATCTGTGGAGTTATTTTCAAAGGGCATATCGTTTATCACAGCCAATTCCACTTCTAAGACTCTCCCATAGCATATCCACAGTGGGTAGCAAGGTAGTCCTTGGGATACTGTAGTATTGTCTACAACAAATCACCAGGGGAGGGGCGACTTTCAATAGCCACCAAATAAGAGACCCTAGACTACTGTTGTAATCAAATCTCAGGGATCTGATTAGCAAAACAAGGCAAGGGTCCAATCAGCTGCTCGAGTGGCCATTTGCAATGGTTTCATGGGACTACTAGCGATTGCCAACCCTGCTTTCACACAGTGTCCTTGCACTCTGGCTAACACCCACCCGCTAAGTCCCAAGTGCCTTGACTTGACCATTAGAAATCCTTGCACACTCACTCGGGAGGCAAAGACAAGGAGATCTCTGTGAGTTCGAGGCCAGCGTCTACAGAGCGAGTTCCAGGACAGGCTTCAAAGCTACAGAGAAACCCTGTCTTGGAAAAAAAAAAAAATCCTTGTTTCTAGGCTTTCCCAGCCGACACAGGGAAGTCCTTCAGGACCAGAATCAACGCCCCTGTACCTCAATCAATGTACAGATGCCATCACGCGGGCAGGCAGACGAGGAGCCCTGGTCTGATGGAAAAAGGACAACCAACTTGATGGACATTCAGACAGATGACCTAGGGGCATATATATCCTGGGTCTCACTGCAGTTAGGAGCTGGCAACCTGTGGCTTGTAGGAGAACATCAAAAACTATGATCAAGATAAAGGAGGTTTGATGGCACTGCATTCACTATCATGAATGCATATCTTATCACGTATTCCCTTGAAGGTAAAGGAGGAAGCAACTCGAACGTGGAGCGATCCAGGGGGAAAGCCTACAGAAGGACAGACAAGGTGATGGATGAGAGTGAAGGAACTCGTACACCAGTCAAGACGAGGTTCCGTTCTGCCACGTCGCGAGGACTTTTCAGAAGGAGCCAAGAAGCAACCAGATTCTGACTGATTGCCGGGTACCCTCTACCAGCAGAAGAAAAACACACCGGATGAGCACCTGGCTACTACGCGTGCGTACTGCAAGCACCGCGGCGCATGCGCATCGATGCCGTCCAGCCCACCTGGTGACGCGAAGTGCACGTAGGCGGGGACCGCTTCTCGGGCTCTGCTAGGTCGGGCTCCACGCGTAAAGGCTGTGTTGACGCGGAGCAGGACTGGAGAGCTGAGCCCTTGGTGGGTGGTCGCCCTCTGTCTCCGGGGACGTCACTGCCTCCGCCGAGGGGCTTGAGGGCGCCGTGCAGGGTAAGCGGGGCCAGCGGGGTGTGCTTGCCGGGATGACTGAGTGCGATGGGTCTCCCAAAGCGCGAGTGACAGAGTTCCCCGTGATGCGGGTTCAAGTGCCTGGCACCTCCCTGTGCCAGGCGGCAGCTCCTGGGGGGTGACCTCAGGGTCACTTGCGCTCCCGGTCCTTGCATTTTCGTTCCTCTGCGTGGTCCTTGCACGTTTCCACTACACGGTGGTACTCGGGCGGTGCTGTGAGCTACACTGCTGTAGGCCAAGCAGCAGGGGTCTCTGCCCGAGAGCAGCCCACTGCCCTGCGCCATCCATCCATTCATTCGGCCGCCCGGTGTGTGCTGACCCGCCCCTAGCGGAGCTAGGCCTAGGCCCCACCCCTCCTACGCTGCACAGTCCAGCTAGGGGGCTCAGGAAACTGAGGAAGTCCTGTGTTCAGAAGGTGGGGCCGATGGTGACCCAGAAAAGCCTGTCAGGGGTCGGGGTGGTTCTGCCTAAGTTGATGTGTGGCCACAGGTGCTTCAGGCTAAAGGAGGGAGAGGTCCTGATGTAGACACCCAGAATGTATATGGGTGGAGAATCCGAGGGAACGGGAGCAGCGGGAAGTAATTGGGCGGTTTTGAGGCTACACTGCTGAGTAGGTTACAGCAAACACAGCCCTTCACACACTGAATCTGTCCAAAGGAATCAGGCGCCTGAAAATACCTGGGCCTTTTATATCTCTCCAGGCACTTGTACCCCACGGTCGTGTGTGGTAAGCCATACATCCTACATCACAGGGAGTATAGCAAAGTCTTCATAGCCACAATAAGAACATCTCAGACACCCACGAAGGAGATTTTCCCAGGGAGAGGTAGATGAATGTGATTACAGGGGTTTTCTTGGGGCACTGCAGAGCCTTGGAGGGGGCTGAATAGCATTGAGGGGAGGTTTCCCTATCCCTGTTACCAGTGAATTAACAATGTAGCCCTTGAAAAATTCAGCAAGCATAATGGTAAGTCTAAAAAAATTGAGGGGTTTTCGTCCCTCTCCTTCTGCCCTGGGGAGGAGTGTAGGCTAATGTGGTGTGTATCTGAGCCCTTCTGGAGGCTCATAGATAGAACGTGAGAGGCACACAGCTCTTTGTATACTTAGTCTGAGGTAGGTACCCACCCACGGAGGCATGGCAGCAGCCTGCAAAAGACATTACAGGGCCATTCATGTATAGGGTTTATTCTTTTCTCCAAGAAAAGATTTTCTACAACTACCAGAAGAAATTGGTGGTACTTCGTTAGTGGTCTTTGTTTTGGGACACATATTTAGCGTGTGCAGCAGTCATTTGCAATCATGGCTTGGTTCCTGTACTTTAATGCATACCAGGAAAACTCTGGCTGCTGCCAGTTCAAATCAGAGGGAGCTTAGTTCTGAGATCATTCGTCCCCTCCTCCCCTCCTAATGCCACACCTGCTACGTTCTCTGACTCCAGTCTACCTGACAGGAAGTGAACCTCTCCAAGCCACCTGTTTGCCTCTGTGTGCCACTTCCTGTTCTGCTTATTTCCCACTTGGCTTTACTTCTGCCTGCTGCTTGCTTTTTTGTCTGTTTATTTATTTGTTTGTTTGTTTTTAAAACCCTGTTCTGTAACTAAGCTTGAGTTGTTTTCCTCGACAAGCCTTTGGGGAGTCTGATCAGTTTGCCACCACTGGGCGTTAAATATGGCTGCAGAAAAGTGATTGGTCCTTCCTGCAAGTGCCTTAGCTACTGACAAACACTTCAACAACAGAATTAAGTTGATATGTTTGGAGTTGGGCCTCTGAGACATGGAGGTGCCTGTGGACCGACTGGTCTGTCTGGTCCTGGTCCTGTGCCCCCTGGGTATGTGTTCAGTTTGGATTGTTAATATCCTGTGTACATGCCATGATTGTAGGTCTGTGGACTCATATGTGTTGTCAGGCTGTCTAAAGTAGAATCTTGTATTTGCAGGTTGGGTTGTAGGGCACTCAGCACATGGTGAACACATTCAGGCCGGGGAAGGCAGTAGAATTTGGACAGTTGAACAAAATTGGCCCAGTTGATGGCTGAGCATTCTGGGGATGGGTAATAGTATGTATAAAGGGCCTGGGACAGGGAGCTGAGTTTTCGAGGCAAAAGAGGCACTGTGTTCTTGGGATGCATGGGCAAGGGTAAAAGGTATGGAATAAGTTGCAAGGGCCAGGCCTCTGCAGGTGATGAGATGTGATCTTGAGAGCAGTGAGTAGCTCTCAGGTACAATGGGATCAAGTGGGAACCAAAGAAAGGCAGGAGCTGGGGACAGGCGAGGGAGGCGTGATCCTTAGCACCTGCCCAGAGAACCTTTCCGAGTTTTACATGCGCAGGAACTGGGGAAGGTGATTTGTCTTATTTTCTTGCCCCATTTTGGGCCTCTTACTTGGGCCTGGGGCACAGAGACAGTGTTATGTGACCTGAGCTGTTTGCCTAAGATTATATGAGTGTGACCAGAGGTGGAACCAAGGAAAGCCTGCTCTGTGTGCAGCATCATTGCACATCTGTTTCACCTAGGGCACCTTAGGATGCTCACACAGGCCCTACTTAGGACAGCCACAGGCTCCTTCTGCCCATCATTGTGCCTGGTTTCCAGGTGATGCGTCCTCTGCCCCTCTACAAAGCTTGTCTTCAGCTTATGTTCAATGTGGCTATTCTTGAACACATTGTAATTCCATCATTGTAATTCATGTGATAGTCCTCCATGAGCAGCCACCTTGCAGAGGAGGCCCTTGGAGGAACTAGCTTGCCCTAGTCACACACTGCTGCCAGCAGGACACCAAAACTGATGGCATCAGTTTAATTTATTTCTATAGAATATTATAGTCCTTGAAACTATCAGACATCATTTATCCCTCAACAGGAATGTTTTTTTATAAATGAAAAGCAGCATCCATTAAACATCCAGAAAAAATAAGTTTAATGTTTCACACTTGTCTCGGGTTCACTGTAGTTGTTCGAGTGGCCAGTTTTTACAGCCCTGGGAAAGTAAATCACTAACAGTACAATCTATAAATGGGACCATGAGTAAAGATGGCAAGACAGGATGGGGCATGTCCATCTATTGCCTGGAGTGATCTGTGGACACTGGACTCTTTGATACAAGCAGCAGTGTGTCCCAGTATGGTTTGTTGGGAAGTTATCCAGTGTCCAGAACCCTCAGTTCTGGACCATCCCTTCCAGAATCATCAAGAAAATCAAATGACTCCTCTGAGTCCTGGGGGAGGGGTTGCAGACCCGTTTTGAGTTGCATGCTTTGTCCCCAGACCTGGGAACTTCTGACATATGCCACAGTCTACAGCCTAATGTGATTTTCCTGGTTCTCCTCCCTTTCAGCCAGCAACAGCTACATAGTCCCCAGCAGACTGAGAAATGAGAAAAATACCAAACCATGGGACTCTGCGGATGACGAAGGTGGCATACCCCCTCGGGCTGTGTGTGGGCCTGTTCATCTATGTTGCCTATATCAAATGGCACCGGGCATCTGCTGCCCAGGCCTTCTTCACCATTGCTGGAGCTGCCTCAGGGGCACGGTGGACCCAGCAGGCCTTCAGCTCCCCAGACTCAGCTACACATAGTCATGAGGTCTTCTATGGGATCATGTTTGACGCTGGGAGCACCGGCACCCGCATCCACGTCTTCCAGTTTGCCCGGCTACCTGGAGGTATCTGTCTGACCATGAATCATTAGGGGCTCGGACACAATGTCTGCCTTCTCCCCTCTCAGGGCAAGGCTGTTAACTTACTTCACAAGACTGTTAACATGAAGTTATTAAGGCAAAATTCAGTGGTAGAGCACACATGAGGCCCTGGGAGTGAGCACCAGACCACTTTGGGGTGGGGGGAGTGTAGTTTCTAAGACATACTTACTCGGTGGACACAAAAGCCATGCACTTATATCCCCAGGAGCCCAAGGCTATCCTTACACTTTGAGACTACCTGTGACTACTAAGGATGGGCAGCTAATACACTGGAGGGCATTTAGTGGCCTGTGCCCTCCCTGTGTCCACAGCAGGCTTTGTGGCTGAGCCTGTGATTTGGGCCATGTCGTGTTGATGTTGGGAGATCTCCAGGCAGGAAACAACTGCATACTCAGGTTTACCGGAGCCAGAAGCCCAGGCAAATTAGAACAGTAGCAGAAACCTGGGACTGAGGCTTGCAGGAACTGCTGCTGTGGGCCCTAAGAGCCTAGCATGGCATCAGCTTTGCTTCCTGGGAATGGAGACTTCAGACAGAAGGTGGGGGCTTCTCTCTAGGACCCCTTGGCTGCCTGGCTCTTTACTCAGCTCTCACATCTGTTGCTCTAAAATCTGCCCTCTTTGTGCATCTGACCCTCAGACAGCCAGCTTTCTAGTCCTCTGCTTTGCCCAGTTCCGTAGTGAGCAGACACTATCCTGGCATTAATTGCTCTGTGAGCATGAGACCCTGACAGTTCTTTCCAAAGCTACAGTAGTCTGGTTTACTTGCTTCTGATTTAGTTATTATTTATTTTTATGTGTTTGGGCCAGAACTTTGCTCTACAAGAAAAAAGGGGGGGCAGACATTATTGAGAATAATTTAGATTTTTAAAAAAAGTTTGTATCCATTTAAGGTGTTAATTTTTAACAATTAGTCTGAGTGTGGTAGTGCATGCCTTTAATCCCAGCACTTGAGAGGCAGAGGCAGGCAGATCTCTGTGAGTTCGAGGCCAGCCTAGTCTACATAGTGAGTTCAGGACAGCCAGGGCTACACAGAGAAACCCTGTCTTGAAAAACAACAATAATAATAATTTAGCAGTTAATTCTTGCTGACTCAACAGCAGAACTATACTCTAGCCTTTTGTTAGTTTGTCCACTTGTGCACTGATACTTTTATATTTATTGCAGTAGTTAGACATTAAATGCCAGATCTACTTAGGTACCTCCAAAATTGGTTTTGAAACCAAATGTAACAGTTATAGTTCTAAGGATTTGCTCAGTGGTAGAACACTGTTCCACCATGTTTTAGGCCCCAATAGATTTCTATCACCAAATTTAAAAAAAAAAAAAAGTCTTAAGTTTAAGGCAGTAATACTATAATCTAGTGTTTGTCTTTAAAGAGAACAACCTTCATGAAAAAGTTTTGTTCCTGCCTTTCTGGTCCTGTCTCCCTCATCTTCATATTCAGCTATTCCTATTTTAGACTGTTGTCTTTGGCCACAGGATGGATCTGGACACTTTCCTTGTTGATGTCCTCCTGACATCAAACACTCAACTTCTTAAGAAGAAAAGCAAGCCTATAGTAGCTTGTTGAAGGCCCATATAAGGATAATATCCCAGAGTTACAGACGTCATTTTTATTTTACAGTTTAAGATCATTTATTTGTTAAATCAGCAAGAATTATCTTAAAATTTAAGTAAGTTATCCTCAATAAAACTGGGGTTTGAGTTGTTCGGTTGTTTTGGTTTTTTTGTTTGTTTTTGTTAGTTTGTTTTGGGTTTTTTTGGCAGTGCTGCAATCAATTCCAGGGCCTCTAACATGCTAGGCAAGCACACTCACCCCGGCCTGTCTCTGTGCGTGCATGCATGCATGCGTGTGTGCTTGCGTGTATATACATATATAGGAAAACAAACTTTAGGTCCTTTACTCAGCCGATCTAGATGGCAGAATTTAAACAAAAATAATTCTCCTAGTTGGCCTCCGTGGTCAGGCCTCTGTTCTTAACATCAGCTAGTCTCCGCTGTGTATATTTATTTTCCTTGTATATAATCATAATTGCGTCTTTTTAAAATGTCTCCCTTTAGAAACTCCCACCTTGACCCATGAGACCTTTAAGGCACTGAAGCCTGGGCTTTCTGCTTATGCTGATGATGTTGAAAAGGTAACCACCGTCTTGTGTCTGTCTGTCCTTCCATGTCCTCTAACTGACTTCCCAGCCAGCTCTTTCTGAACAGGATCCGTTGGCCATCTTCTGAGAGAAAGGTGACCTGGTGCTGGTACTGCCTGGGGAAGATAGAGAGGTGGGGAGAAGTGCAGGTCTCGCCAGTGTGCTGACGCCATGAGGCCCTGATCCTCACACAGTTCAGAAGCTCACACCCACAAACGTACAGGAGCATTACTGGGGGACTGGAGAGATGGCTCGGTAGTAAGAGCACTGGCTGCTCTTCCAGAGGACCCAGGTTCAGTTACCAGCACCTGCATAGCTGCTTACTGCCACCTGTAATTCCAGTCCCAGGGAGTCCAGTGCCACCTTCTGGCCTCTGTAGGCACTGCATACATGTGCACAGACTGAAGGCAGGCAAAACACTCATACAACAACAAAATGGGGAAAAAAAGGTTGTGTTTGAACTTTAAAATATTTGTATTAGTAGTGTAAGTTCTGCATGATACTCTTGTGATGCAGGAAGCTAGGGATGGAACTCCGGGCTTCCCAAGTCTAGACCAGTGCTCTGATACTGATCTAAGACTCCCCATAGTAACTTTGTAATTTTCATTTTTCATTGCAGTTCCTCTGCTTGAAAGTATAACATTTACTAAAACCAAATACCAATGCTAAAACTGTTGTGCTAGGGCTAGCAGAGAAGCTCAATGGTAAATTTATGTAAGGCTCAAACCAAATAAATGTAAAAGGAAAATGTAAAACAAATTTCATGGAGGTGAAATAGGATTTCTGTGAGTGTGTAGTGTTTAGACTTCTGATGTCTTAATGTTGTAATGCACTAGAAGATGTGAACCAAGGAGTCCTGGGTTTCTTCTAAAGCAGACCCTGCTTGCTCAGAGGGTTTGACTTTCCCTGTCATTTGTTTGTTTGTTTGTTTCTTCTTTTAAACGCTGGGTATGAAACCCAGGGCCTCTCCTCGTGTGTTAGGCAAGTGCCCACCACTGAGCCGCATCTTAGCCCATCTCAGCATCCCCTAGACCCTCTGCTAGTCCGCTGCTCTGACCCGTTGTGTTCTCACAAACGGCCAGTGCTGCTTGACGCGGTGCTCCTGCCAATTTTGACAGTTAGAGAAAGGGACGAAGAGATGGGTTGGTGGGCAAAAGCACTTGCTTCAGATGCCTGGTGACCTGAGTTTGAGTCCCAGAACCCACAAAAAAAAAAAAAAAAACGCAAAACTCAGTGTGGGAGTCAGCTATTTTATAGTAAGTCTGCAACAGCAAAAGCAAGAGATCCTGCCCACATGAGGTAGAAGGTAAGAACTGATTCATGGAAGTTATCTTCCTATGTCTGCATGTGAAATGCACATGCGTGTACACATCCCCCAAGTTTGATTTTTAAACTAGATAATATGTTTAATATACATTTTAAAGGGTAGTGATAACTGGGTAGTGTAGGGTAACAGCCCTGCTTTGCTTTCACTATATCCACAGAGTGCTCAGGGGATCCAGGAACTTCTGAATGTTGCTAAGCAACACATTCCGTATGACTTCTGGAAGGCCACCCCTCTGGTCCTCAAGGCCACAGCTGGTTTGCGCCTGCTGCCTGGAGAAAAGGCTCAGAAGTTGCTGCAAAAGGTAAACTTAGCCATTTCCCCCTCTGGAGGGCAGCTAAGGATCACTAAAAAATGCTAACCCTGCTGGGCATAATGGTACACACCTGTCACTCCAGCACCCAGGTGGCCAAGCAAGACAATTTCAAACCAGAGGCCAGACTGAGCTATAGAGACAGAATAGCCACTAACCTTGCAGCTAGAGTTAAGCAGGCAGAACGTAGAAATGTCCTCTAGAGAAAAACTTTGAAATGTTCACCGTATCACAGTTAGGAATTGTCTATGTGACATTTCGGAACACAACTTTGTTTTAAGATTGTGTTGTGGGCACCCACAGATACGTGAGCTGAGCTGACATCTTAGCCCAAGCTCAGATGTGACTGCCCAAGAGACCCTTATCCTCTTCCCCAGACCCAGTGCTTCTTGGGGGACATGGTATCCCCAGACAGCCACTTTGCACTCTATACTGGGGCTACATCCTCCACCCCCAGAATGCATTTCTAATTTCTCTTCCATCCACCAAGTTTGGGAAGATACAGTGTCCCTCAACTTCTAGACCGTTCTTATATTTTACTGGCAAGCTGGTGGCACAGTACATCCTCTTAGGACACAGGGGAGGTAGGGGTGACTAAGGGCACTGAAGTTTCTATGTCCTGAAACTCCTTAGAAAATGGAGAAAGAAACACACCCAGTTGTTCACGCCTTCATCCCCCTCTGCGAGGCTCTGATGGCCCATGTCCCTGGATAAGTGCCCCCATCTCTACACAGGCCATATGAGTGGTCCCCAGGTTTAAGCCCTGACTCATAGGGCTTCATCTCTGAACCAAAGCCAGGGAATGGTTGGGGACCCCTCAGGTTCAGTGCACGCCAACTCTGTCTAGGCCATCTTTGCTCTCAGAACTCTCCTGTCCCCAGCAGTTCAAGATGAGATACCTGGGGTAGCATGTCTCTTAGCTATCCTAGGGATATCAGCCAAGGACACCCCTACAGAAGATTGCAGAAACTTGAAACAGTTTCATCTTTGTCTCTCAGCATACCACAGAACCCTCAGTGTTCTGTCACAGCCAGCTGAACACACAGTGCCCTTGCAAGCTCTGATCTTGCTTCTGAAGAATGAGCACACCCTCCCTGCCCTGACTGGGGTGGAGGGTGAGATACTCACTGTGTGGACCAAACTGACCTCCAACTCAGGAAGATCTCTGGGTTCTGCCTCCCAAGTTCTGTACTAGTGTACAGCTTCATGCCAGGCTAAAAAATGTTTCTCTTTGCATTTAGGTGAAGGAGGTCTTCAAGGCATCACCTTTCCTTGTGGGGGACGACTGTGTCTCCATCATGAATGGCACAGATGAAGGTAGAGTGGACAAATGAGTGCCTCATCAGTGCATGTCCCAGTCAGACAAATGACTTGGTGCTGCTGCCACTGCCGCTGCTGCTGCATGGACTCCATGCCTGAGGGCACTGTAGCTGGCCTGCCATGGTCCTGTTCAATTTGTTAGAGACATGCTCTTATCTTGACCAGCTCCAAGCCTGGTACAGATGAATCCTCTGAAAACATCATGCTTTGGGTTTTAAGGACATTTAGAGAATGCCACTTGCTGCCATGCTGGGAACATTGTGGTTATATAGCTCGATCTGAAAACAACACTTGAGGTTTCTCCCAGGCCAGTGATTTTAAATATGACCTTAAGAGTGAGCTTGTTTGGAGGGCAGAGGGTACATTGGATTCTCTGCCTGCCTTCTTCAAAAAATGGAAGCTGGTGACAAAGTCCTGGAGGAGACCGGCATTTGGTACTGTGTTCTAGGTTTTCAGTGTGTGCCCAAAGGCCCTGGGTTCTTGAGTGAATACTGTTCCCTTCTCAAGGCTGGGAATGCAAGCAGTGCCCACCACACCCCTGAAATCTGGAAATAGCAAAATAGATAGCAGTCCTGTGTGTCAAGAGTCAAAATGGGGTCTAGAGAGATGGCTCAACTGTTAAGATCACTTAGAGAAGACCCAAATTCAGTTCCCAGCATCCATATGGTGGTTTACAACCTTCCATAACTCTAGTTCCAGGGACTCCAACCCCTCTTCTGGCCTCCATGGGCACCAGGCACACATGAAGACCACAGACATACATGCAAGTAGCACACCCATACACCACACTTTTTTAAAAAAGGAATTGAAATGTCTGTGCTATTCTCTTACAGGTGTTTCAGCATGGATCACTGTCAACTTCCTGACAGGTGCGTGTCTACTGGATGGGAAAGGCTAATGACTCACCATCCCTAGGAAAGGAGTGCCTGCCAGGCTTCTTGAAGCACCTGCCAAGGCCCCATTACCATAACAGCCAGATTCAGTGTTGCTGGTTTGGAGGCAGATTGGGGTAGCGGAATATCCAGACAGGTCAGGCGATGTGAGCCCGTATGTGCTGTGTGTGTGCATAGCCCCTCACCGCCCTTACCTTTCTCAGCACAGCCCCCACCCAGCATCCACCGGGACTTTGACCTATAGTTTGTTTCTGAGAAAAGCAGCAAATTGAACCTAGTCAGGTCTTCAGATACGTGATATGAGGTGAGCACTGGTCACCCCGGCCAGAGGCGTCTGCCCTGGACACAGGTTGTGAAGAGACACTTTTCGATGGTTTTCAGTACGGCCCTGTACTGGAGAAGGATGGTGTGTCTGTAGAAAGAAGAGAGTGTTTTCTGGGCAGGTCTCCCCCATATGAGGGCAGAAAGACACTGGTGGATAGGTTGGAGATCGCGAGCTCAGATGCTTTTTGAGAACAGTCTGAGATGGGGCTAGTCAAAGAGGATGATGCCCTGTAGGGAGGACCCGTGTCAGAACAGCAAAGAAGTCGGTGTTCCGAGGCTGGCCTTGCCAGAAGGTAGGCCCCTGCGAGCATTTCTCTCAATGGTCAGAGTCATCCTGCCATTCCCATCAAAGCCACAGCTGGCAGAGCCACAGGTCTTGGAGACTTTTAAGTTACAATGGTTTAAGTAGTTGTAGCAGCTTCTGCAGTTTCCGTGCCGCCACCACCACCATCAAGGGCAGCTTCTGACCTCTCTTTGATCTTCCTGGTGTTCTCATGTCCTTCCTTACCCGGCAGCCAGCACTATGTCTTTATTCACTGTGATCTAGGCAGTCTGAAAACCCCAGGAAGCAGTGTGGGCATGCTGGATTTGGGCGGAGGATCCACTCAGATCACCTTCCTTCCCCGTGTCGAGGTAACCTGCCCTGCCTGCCTCACCAGGTGTGTGCGTTACAGTCAGGGAGCTGCCGCCACCCCAAGGAGGCCCCTCAGAGAAGGCCCCTTGGCCACTGGAAGGTGCTCCACCCCTCTGAGTTCTCTCACAGATAACTTCTTAAATAGAAACCTGCCCTTCAGTGAGGTGAAATCAAATGATGACAAGGAAGCGTTGGGCTAGAGACTAGACACCGTCATCCCCCGTGAAGCTCCAGGAGCAAGAGTGGACAGTACGGCTAATAGATTGGGGGTGAGGGGGGAGGGTCAACCCTCTTCAAGATAACTGTTCTAAAGAGAGAAAAAACACTTGTGTCTAGTGACATCTGCTATTTTTAAATTCTGTTCTTGTCACCCACACTGTTTATTAACAGTCACAAACACCTGTGTTATAGAGTGGGTGAATAAATGCACCTGTACACACCTAGTAACTGAAGCTGTGGTCCTAGTCAGGTTATTAGAGAAAGATGCTTATCTGGTCTGATTGGACTATGTATGTCAGAAGGTACAAGATGCAGCTGGTCCAGTGATGTCCATTTGTAATCCCAGCTGAGGCTGAGGTTGGAGGATTAGGAGTTCAAAGGTAACAGGACCTGGTCTCAAAATAGCAATAATAATAATAATAATAATAATAATAATAATAAAAAATACTGAGGATGTTGCTCACTGGCCAAGTACCTGGAAGCCCTGGTTTGATCCCTAATATGGAAAGAAAAACAGAAAGAAAGCTTCTCCTAGAGGGAGAACCATCATTCTGGTTGGTTTGGTTTTTTTATCTCTTGCTCCTCATTGTTTCATAGCCAAAGACTCAAAGGAAAACTCATTAGATGTCCCTGTTCATCCAGGCGATTCAGGGAGGAGGGTACGGTCTTCTGGAAAGACCAGGGGCAACAGTGGCTTCGTGTTCCTCCCCAGGGTACCCTGCAGGCCTCCCCGCCCGGCCACTTGACAGCACTGCAGATGTTTAACAGGACATACAGGCTGTATTCCTACAGGTGGGTTTGCCCACTCCTGGGGCACCTCCCACTTATGGTGGGACCCTTTCCCCATGTAGATGCCAGATCCCAGAATCCCTTGTGCCAAGAGACTGCCTGGGCCCTTCTTGTCCTGCCTCCCCTGCTTCTCCTCCTGCATGTATCATTTTTAAATTTCCCATAAAAGCACATTCTTCTATTGTTCTTGTTCTGTCCTTCTTTGGGGGAGGCTTGGAAAAGACTAAGGCTGCCTGCTGGCCACACAGCACTTGCAGAACCCCAGAGAAACAGACAGGCTCTGTCTCCTTCGCTGCCATGTGCACAGCTTCTATAAGAGCTCCTAACAGGCTCTCAGTTCGATTACTTAATGTCTCAGCCTTAGTGTAAAGCTCAGAGAAGAATGAGAACACCTTTCCTTCTCCCACTGAGCCCAGGCAGGTGCATGAGTGCCCCAGCCTCACCAAATTTTGTCTCCACAGCTACCTGGGGCTAGGACTGATGTCGGCCCGACTGGCTATTCTGGGTGGCGTGGAGGGGAAGCCTGGTGAGTAGAACACTTGCTCTAGGCTCTGTCCCCACCCCTGGTGCCTCTCCTCCCCCTCTGCTACACAGCAGCGTATCAGCCACTGCCTACTAATCCAGCCTGGGTGGGACGGGCCCAGATCTTTTTACACATAAGATAGAATATGGGGTGACATGTTTACCTTCATCCAGTCTTCTAAATTATCATTCTTAAAAGAGATACTAGGAGGTTTCTAGAGAGGTGGCTTTGTGGTTAAGAGCTCCGGCTGCCCTCCTGAAGGACCCCGATTTGATTCCCAGCACCCACATGACAGCTCACAACTGTCTGTAACTCCAGACGCGGGGGATCTGATGCCCTCTCTAGCCCCCACAGATACTTCATGGATATGTTATACTCACATACATGCAGGCAAAACACCCATGTACATCAAATAAAAATAAAGGGATTTTTTAATTAAAAAAAGAGAGACAGTAGAGAAATAATTTCTTAACTGTGTCACCTACACTTAGAATCACCTCGTGTGTCAGTTCTCTGTCACTGACAGTAACTGAGACAAATGGCTCTAAGAAAGAAAAGTTTGTCTTATGGTCTTGGATAAGTTAATGATCACTTACTATGTTGCCTTTGGGCATGTGGTGAACCAGGACATCATGGTGTGAGCAGAGGACACTGTTCACCTGCTGGCAGCAGGAGGCAAAGGAGGAAAATGGTCAGGCTCCAGTATTCCTCCAAGAAAATGCCCTAGTGACCTAACTTCCCCCCCTAGGCTCCACCTACCCAAGATTTCACCCCATCTTAAAGTGCTAAAGGCTGGACACAAGCCTCAGCACGTAGCTTCTGGGCCTAGTTCATGATGGGGAGCTCAGATTCACTCTAGCATGGGAACACCTGGTGTCACCTGTCCTTGCCTTTCTACCAACTTGTCAGTTACTGCCAGTCTTAGCCATCTGTAAAACTGGGTTGTGACAGTCTCCTCCAAATAGGACCATTGTGATAACTGATAAAACAGCACTTGGCCCAGTGTCTGGAACCCCAGGCGCCCAGGGGACATAAGCTGCTGCATTTCACCAGGGCCACAGTCATGTTTCTGGACAAGTGGGATTGACTGCCACCCCTGTGACAACAGGAGTTTTCTCCAGCTGACCTGGACTGTCTTGGGAGACAGGTCCCATTGCGTCCCTGTACCCTGTACAGCCTGTAGCATTCTCTGTTGGGCCCCACCCAGTCCTCTAAGCTCTGTCTGATGGACAGAGCACCATTTCCTTCTTATCTTCATGGCCATCTCTATTTCAGCTGAGGATGACAAGGAACTGGTCAGCCCCTGTCTGTCTTCCCGGTTCAGAGGAGAGTGGGAGCATGCTGAGGTCACCTATAGAATTTCAGGACAGAAGGCAGGTAGGTGGTATTGCCAGGATCATGAGGGTCAAAGGTAGTATGCTTCCCTTTTCTTTTTCCAGATACTTCTAAAAAGCAGGCACCAACACAGACAAGACTGTACCTCCCCCTAGAGCACAGGCAACCAAGAACTGTGGCAGGACTTCGAAGGCTTTTGTTGAGAGCTAGGGCCCCTCTGCCTACCTCCCTCTTTAGGGTCTCTGCACAAAGTCTCCTTGTCTGTCACCAAGCACTTCTATCCAAATAGCCAACTTTCCCAACAGCTCCAGTGAGAAAGGAGCTGGGTGCCTTGGGGCCTGGGACAAATGGCCACATTTAGGCTCCTGGCCCAGAAACTACTCTGGCCAGTTCTGTGCAGAGAGAAATGAAGGCTGCTTCCTGCCAACAGCCCAGGACACACAGCCTCCACCACCCTGTCACTGGCCCTCACCCTGGTCTTGTTATTCTGGGTCCTTTGAATTTCTTCTAGGAGAAAAACTGGGCTACTGTTGCCAGGCTGGACACAAGACAAGAGGCATATCCACCTTTGGTGTGTGGTCAGCCTGGTTGAACTGTCAGTCATCCACATGGATGGGAGCTGTGTGACCTGTGTGCCTCGGGCTTGCTAACTTTGGCTCTGTGCTTTCTCTTGCCTTTTGCAGAGGGCCTCTATGAGCTGTGTGCCAGCAGGGTGTCAGACGTCCTCAGAAACAAAGTACACAGGGCAGAAGAGGCACAGCACGTGGACTTCTATGCTTTTTCCTACTACTATGACCTTGCAGCGAATTTTGGCCTTATAGGTAAGGGCCAGGGCGGCCTGGGCAGGGGCCCGGGGGCCGGGGGCCGATGCTAGACAGCGGTGGCTTTGTTGGTCTGGGTGAAGTGAGTGGGTGTGAAAGGAGTTGGGCAGTGTGATAGAGAAGCAGGAAGTCATAAGCCCCTTTCTTAGGTAAGCTAGTTCCTTTGAGGCAGCTAGTAAAATAGCAGTTATCTGCTGCGGATAGATTCTGCTAGAAAGTAGGGCTTGCTCTGCACTCACTCTCTGTCATTTACTGCCTGGCCTTGTCCTGCAGCCTCAGCTCAGGAGCCACTTGAAATGGGCAGCCACATGCTGTCTTTCTGAGGAAGAGGTTAGACCTGCAATGAGGGGCTCGCTTTGGCCTATGGACCCAGGGCAGGGTAAGCAGTCAGCCAGTGAAGTGAGGCTGACAGTGTCTATCTTATCCGACAGATGCAGAGAAAGGAGGCAGCCTTGTGGTCGGAGACTTTGAGACAGCAGCCAAGTATGGTGAGTGGCACTGCGCTTGCCAGGGTGACCGGTCGTGGGGTATGGGAGCAGAAACCCAGGTGTTTGTGATGGGCACAAGTCCCATCACTGCTGGGTTTAGTACCTTATTCCGTCTGTTAGCTGGTGCAGAGAGGTGTGTAAGGGCAGAGTTCAAAGTGTACTAGGATCACCAAAGGCCTAAACCCCAGATACAACCTCCCAGTGGAGGGTGTCCTCCATTGTGAAAGGCCACAATTCCAGTGCCTGCCACAGGGCTCTGAGGTGCCATTTCCCTCATCTCAAATCTCTGACGCATTCCCTTGTTACCAAAGTAACCCCCAGAGACTCTTCCCTGGGATGGTCACAGCCGCTTCATGATGGTCAAATGACCCTGAGGAAGTTGGGTTCCAGGATAGTAGCTCCTGCTGTGGCAGCATCCTGAGTGTCTCACTGAGTTGCCTTTCCTCTTCCCCTGTGCTCTGTCTGCAGCTGCTCTGGGTCACACAGCGCTCTGGCACCCAAGACTGGACATCATGTCCACATTCAGCTCTTCTGGTTGCTGTTCCCAGTTTGCAATTCAGAGCAATTAAGCTTAGTGTATTTCTCCATAGAAGTTTCCTCCTCCTCCCTCTCCTACCCTCCCATGCTAAAAACATGGCATTTTTATGCTTTTCTGTCACTTCTTGGCTTTTCCCTGGACATTGGTATCTAGATGGGTTTGCCCATCTATCAGGAATAGATTCTGAGAGCTGTAAAAATAGTTTGAGTGTTTGCTGCACAAGCATGAGGATCTGAATTCAAATCCCCAGAATCCACATAAAATGAGGTGAGGTTGCCAGAGTCTACAAAGCCCAGGCTGTGGGGGAGAGGACAGAAGGCTCGTTGAGGCTTGTTGGTCACCAGCCAAGCTCCAGATTCAAATGAGGGACCTTGTCTCAAGAGATTAGAGAGTGATATAGCAGGATACCATATGTGTTGTTCTGTCCTCTGTGCCTACACAAGGACACACACATACACATACACAAGAATGGATTTGGAGTCAGCCTTAGTGTCATTATCAGGCCTTAGAAAGGCTGGATTCTAGAATATGTTGACATCTAGGAAGTGTGAAGGGGCTCAGATACAGAGATGTAGCTGGGAAAAGTGGGGTTCCACTGTTACCCCAAGTTAAGACATTCAAGTCTCTCTTGGATCTAGCATCCAGGCCTAGTGGAGGTTGAGACTGGCCTCTTGGCCTACCAGTAGGGTTACTACACTGCAGTTTGACAGTGAATCAGAAGTGAAAAGCAAGATGGGGTCAGGGTTGCCTCCTCCCCACCCCTAGGTTGTTTAAAACAATGGTTCTCAGCCTGTGGTCTTGACCCCTTTGACAAACCTCTATCTCCAAAAGTATTTAATTATGATCCATAGCAATAGCAAAATTAGCTGGGCAGTGGTGGCACACGCCTTTAATCCTAGCACTTGGGAGATAGAGGCAGGTTGATCTCTGTGTGTTCAAGGGCAGCTTGTTCAACAGAGCAAGTTCTGGGACAGGCTCCAAAGCTACACAGAGAAAACCCTGTCTGGAAACAACAATAACAAAGTAGCAAAATTACAGTTATGAAGTAGCAATGGAAATAATGCTATGGTTGGAGTCACCACATCATGAGGAACATATTAAAGGGTCATAGCATTAGGAAGGTTAAGAACCACTGGTCTAGAACATGATTAAGAATTGGCATCTCTTCCAGTATGCCGCACACTGGAGACACAGCCACCAAGCAGCTCCTTTGCCTGCATGGACCTCACCTACATCAGCCTGCTGCTCCGTGAATTTGGTTTTCCCAGGGACAAGGTGCTGAAGGTAAATAAGCATCACATCTTGGGTTCCACATTCCATTTGTAGTGTGGGGTGCTGAGAACTGTTGACCCTACTGTTTGGATTGGGGGGAGGGGTTGTTTGGGGTTTTTTTTGTTTTGTTTGTTTGTTTGTTTGTTTTTTCTTGAGACAGGGTTTCTCTGTGGCTTTGGAGGCTGTCTTGGAACTAGGTCTTGTAGACCAGGCTGGTCTCAAACTCACAGAGATCCTCCTGCCTCTGCCTCGCAAGTGCTGGGATGAAAGACATTCTCTACTGTTTATCTCCTGCTCCCATCCTTGCTTTTAACAAATAGCCTGAAACTGTGTGTAGCCTCTTCAGCCACTGCCTTCCTCCACAGATGCCACCCAGTCTTACATCTCAGTCCTATGATGTTCTCTTCTCTTTTCCTTTGTCTTTTCCAGCTGGCTCGGAAAATTGACAACGTTGAAACCAGCTGGGCTCTGGGGGCTATTTTTCATTACATTGACTCTCTGAAGAGACAGAAGATTCCTGCCTTGTAGCAGCCAAGCCCTAGTCCCCACCCTAGCCAGAATTCCAAGGCTCCCAACACTGACCTGGAAGTGACACCATCCTTGAGGAGCCTGCACCTGGCTGAGATCCTCCTCTGTGCCCATTTGCCTGGGACATGGCCCATGTACTAGCCCCACTACACTAGCTGGGGCAGGACCAGGGTAGGAATGCTTCCTGGCCTGAGGCCATCTCCCTGCCTTGCCTCCAAGTGGGCAGGGCGCCAGGTGGGGCCCAGGGCACAGACTGAGATGCAGCCCTGTTCTTATCCCGTCCATCTGCAGGATTGTGGCTGCTTTTATGTGTTTCTGTGTGGGTCTTGTTTTGTCTCCCAGCCCCAGTTCCTTCATGAGCTAGGCCTCTGTCTGCCTTCCCTGAATTGTGGGAGTAGACTAGCCCAGACACAGTGCAATTTCCAGGGGAGTGCATCTTCAGTGCATACATCTCTTCCTCAGGATAGTCATGGCGTTACCTGGAGGTCTGCTGCCCCATCTTTGGATAGTACCGAGTTAACTGATGTGGGGACACTGAGGAGGAAGAAGGTGGGACAGTGCCTCTTTACGGACCCAGTGTTCCAGCTTTGCAGAGCATATGGCTATGAGCAGAGCTATAAGAATGTTCAAGGCCGTGTACTCAAGCACTACCCTGTGAACTGTGAGTGCTTTGTGTTAAAACTGAGCCCCCTTTCTGGGCACAACAATGTCCCAGTGAATGTATTACTGCTATGAGCCACTTGCACCAGTGGGGCGGATCAGAAAACTCAGCCCTGGAACCATACTGCCCCCACCCCACCCTCCTCACTGGGCTGCAGCTGGCTCCCTGTGGTCCCCTCAGTGAATGTACAGTCTATAGAATAAGCTGAGCCATGTTGTTCTACTCCAAATAAAGGTTTACAAGGGTTTCTCTCCTTTGCGTCCTGAGTGAGCTGCCAGCATTTAAAACCTGCCCAACTGGGACAACAGTAGCAGTAACCAGCAGCAGCAGCAGCAGCAGGCCACCCAGAGGCCTGGACTGTTTGAAGGTCTAGGGGCGCCCTGTCCCAGCTCTCTATTGAGCTCCTCCCTCTCCTGAGATATGGCTGACAGTTTGGCTAGGGACAGTTCTGGGTACATCACCTGTAGGTCACTCTGCTCAACAACGATCGAGTTTGATTCTGGCATAGTCCAAAAGGGGTCACATGCCAGGGTCCACTGATACCCCAAATGCTCACATCCCCTAAGTCTATGGTGGTTCACAAGGTCTGACCCTGAGAAACGCCTCATACCACACCACCCCCCACCGCCTTAAACCAAGAATTCCACTTGGACTGGCCAGTACAGAGGAACAGTTGTATAGGCAAAGGGGGCAGTGAAGGCTCCAAGGAGCCAGCTCTTACTTCTCTGATACCTTGTTCATGCTACTCAAATAGTCACATGACCCTAAAGAAGCTGGGTCCCTGTACAGTGGAGCTGTCCTTGTAGGGCTAGAGCTGGCATCTTGGGTGGCTTCTCACTACAGAAGCAGTAGCTTCACAGGTGACAGGGGTAGGAAGGAAGCCTGGGAAAGACCTGACATTCCCTGGGGGAAAAGGATGGTCAGTGGAACTCAGATTCCAAGGCAGTAGGGAGACCCCAGAACCAGAGCAGAGTAAGCCTGGTGGTCTCCTTAAAATGAAACCTTGGAGGGGCTTGTGACCAGTGTATAACATGTCCAAAAAAGAAAGCAGGAAGAAGTCTTCCCAGATAAAAGAGTCACCTGGGACCAGAGCCCGGGGATTTTGCTGAGGAGAGTATGGAAAATCTTGTCCTTTCCACACTACACTCCTTGGCAGAGACCCCACCGCCCCTTTCTTCTTTAGCTGATGGCCTGAATGTTTGAAAACTCCAGAGGCGAAGCATCAAATCCGCAGGACGGAAATACAGAAGTAGACTCATTGCAGGTAATGTTTAGTGATCTCACTCATGAAAAAGTAAACAGCTGGATGCTTCCCAAAAGAACACTAATAGACTGGGATATTCTTAGGCCTGGCAAAACATGCAAGTCACTACTCTTGGCACCCTTCGTGATAATAAAGAGGACTTTATTGTTTTGTTGTGTTTTGTTTTTTTTTTTTTAAATAGCTGCATCACTCTGGCCTGTACGCCTTTGTGCCTCCCTGGGTCCACCGACATACCCCAGACATCTGCTATGTCCCTTACCCTACACTGCTCCTACTTGAATGGCAGAGACCCTAGCTACCTGCAGTAGTCGGTGGTCACACTCCCACATCTAGCTGTTAGGACCTCAGGCTGTCCTTCTACTTGAATCTTCATATATGTGAGCCATCCTGACACTGTCTGGTCAAGGACATTACCATTTTAAATTGGAGTGGACATAGCCAGTTTCTTTACCCTGCCGGTAACTGGTGCTGGCTTCCCTCACCAGCGCAGTGACTGCCCATGGTTTGATGTTTGCCATTCTGGCAGATGGTAGAATGGGACTGATGATTTTTCTTTGTATCTAAGAAGAACATCTGTTAATATTTATCATTTTTCATGAACACTGGTAATTATTTCCCCAGATTTTAGGATTTTTGTTTTGTTTTTCAAGACAGGGTTTCTCTGTAGGTTTTGGAGACTGTCCTGGAACTCTCTTTGAACACCAGGCTGGACTCAAACTCACAGAGTTTGCCTCTGCCTCCCTGGTGCTGGGATTAAAGGCATGCACCGCCGCCACCACCCCCACCCAGCTACAATCTTTCTTTATTAAGGAGATTAGCCCATTGTGATACTTCTCCACCACTCCCTTTTGACTTTTTGTTGTTTGTTTGTTGTTATTATTGTTGTTTGTTTTTTGAGACAGGATTTCTCTGTGTAGCTTTGGAGCCTGTCCCGGCACTCACTCTGTAGATCAGGCTGTCCTTGAACTCACAGAGATACAATATCTGCCTCCCAAGTGCTGGTATTGAATGTGTGTGCCACCACTGCCTGGCTCCCTTTTGACTTTATGGTAGCTTTATTACTATATATTGAAACCTTCTATTTATTTATTGTGTGGCTCCCAGATTTTGTGTCATAATTGCAGAGGCTTCATTACTTAAACAGTTTTCAAGTTCTGGAGTTAGGGTGTGGCACAGGGGCAGCAGGGTGCCTGCCTGGCATGCACAGGACCCTGAGTTCAACCCACAGCACTACAAACTAACCAAATGGACTTTTTATGCTTTTAGTTTTTCCATTAAGAGCTTGAAGCTTTTGGATATTTTCGAATGCTTTTGGATCCTTTCACATGCAAGAAATCAGTTTGTGATCTACTCATTTTTAAAACCATTTCAGAGTCCTTGGAAGGGTGAGTTCCAAATACTGTCTAGGGGAAAGACAGAGATGACTCCAGGATGGTACTTTACAAAGCATGGTAGGTACAATGGTGTCAGCAGCCATCACCCCAGGCAGGAACTTGGGAACAGACTTGGTGTGAAGTGTCCAGTAACGTCATGTGCCTGGGACTTTATTGGAGACATAGAAATGTGAGGAATGCTTGAGACAGTTGGAGATAACTGTGAAAAGCTTTGGTTTGGGCAGAAGATGACAGGTGTCCAGCATTACCTGAAGGCTTGTACCTTTCCAGGGGCCAGGTTCTAACATAGTGCCAGGGAGGAGGAGGTCACAAGAAAGCTGCTTTCAGGTTTTGAAATAACAAAATTTATTTTTGCCTGGGGCTGGAGACTTTGCTAAGTGGTTAAGAGCATGTGTTGTTCTTGCAGAGGACCTGAGTTCAGTTTTCAACATCCACATGGCAGCTCACAACCTTCTGTAACTCTAGTTCCAAGGGATCTAACACCCTCTTTGGACCTCTGTGGGCACTAAGGTATGCATGTGGTGCAAATGCATACCTGCAGCCAAAACAGTGGTACCCATAAAAGTAAATAAATATAAATAAATAAGTAATGAAAAGGCATTCTTCCTCATGAGAACTAATGCCTCCTGTGAGCATCCAGGGATTCTGTAGAGGATGCAGAGTTAGAATCAAGACTTCCAACCAGGTGGTGGTGGTGGCAGCAGTGGGGGCAGTGCACGCCTTTAATCCCAGCACTTGGAAGGCAGAGGCAGGTAGATCTCAGTGAGTTTAAGGCCAGCCTGGTCTACAGAGCAAGTTCTAGGACAGCCAAGGCTACAGAGAGAAACTGTCTCCAAAAACAACAATAGCAAAAAGAATCAGGACTTCCAATGTCTTCACACTCAAGATTCTTAGATTTGAGCCGGGCATTGGTGGCACACACCTTTAATCCCAGCACTCGGGAGGCAGAGGCAGGCAGATCTCTCTGAGTTCGAGGCCAGCCTGATCTACAGAGTGAGTGCCAGGACAATCTCCAAAGCTACACAGAGAAACCCCGTCTCAAAAAACAACAACAAAAAGATTCTTAGATTTGCCTTGAAATCATGGACAAGTGTCTTTGTTTTCAGCTAGTGTAACAGAATACTACTGGGTAATTTATACTGAGCAGAAATGCCTTTGGCTCACAATTCTGAAAGTTAGAAAGTCCAAGACCATGGTACAGGCTAGTGGTGGGGACCTTCGCTATATCTACAGTAAAAAGCAGAATGGCAAGAGAAGGCAATAGAAAAGAGCGAGTGGGATCCAACATACAATTTTTGGTGTGTGTGTGTGTGTGTGTGTGCGTGTGTGTGTGTGTGTGTGTGTGTGTGGTGTGTACATGTGTATACACATGTGGGTATGCTCATCTGTGCATGCACATTAAGTGAGAGTGGTTAACTTTAAGTGTCTCTATCTTACTGAACCAAGAGCTTGCTGTTAGCTGGGATTCCTGGGGAATCACCTGTCTCCATCATCACCATCCCAACCCTGTGGCCAGCCCTGGACTTCCAGGCATGTACCTACCACCATGCTTGGCTTTTGCCTGGGTGTGGGGGATTTGGACTCAAGTCCTCATGCTTAACAATAAGCACTTCACCCACTGATTCACACCCATCCCCCAAGTTGCACTCACAATGCTGGAGAAAACTAACTGACTCTCCTG